ACAGTGAGACTCTGTCTCAAAAAAAAAAAAAAAAAAAAAATCTTACTATGGATTTGAATTCACAGTTAAGAGGGCAGATTAAAGCATTATCTGGAATCTTTAATCCCCAACACCTATGAACAATGAATAAGTAAGAAATTTATTTCGATGCATATTTATTTTGATGCAAATCTGTCAAAATTAATGCTAAAAATTCTCCAGCAGGAACCAAACAAGTAAAGGAGTAGAATCATGCCATAAACTGAGAAAAGTGGCGGCCAAGGGAAAAAACAAAAAATTCTGGCAGCACGATGTGGCCCCCAACCGCAGCCCCAGAACACACGGAATCGTGATGCATTTGCAGAGAGCTGGCTGCGGGGTTTGCCCGCAGTCGGGGGTACCAAGGAAAGGCCTAGGTGCAGAGAGGAGCAGCGAGGAGGCGCCAGCAGAGAACAGGGTCAGGTCAGAAACTGAGCTGAGACTTTCCCTTCAGAAAACTCAAGGTGAAATTAAGTGGCTCCTGGTGGGTATTCCTCTCCATTCCAAGTCCTCTTGTCGTCCTGAGGATGCACCTGGACAACTTGGCCTACTCAGCACCGACACCCCGCACTTCACCTGTCAGCCACCTGCTGTCCTCAGCACCAGAGCTGCTCCCCCTGCCGTCCAAGTCCAGAGGCAGGGACACCATCAGGAAGCTGTCGCAATAGCCCTGGGAGAGAGGACGGTGGCTCCAACTAGTACAATGCAGTGCAGGGACTCGAGAGGAAAAATCAAGCAAGCCCTAGCGTGTTTAAAGGACCCCAACTTCCCACGCCTTTCCTCTCAGTTCACAGTTTCCTATCTCCGCTTCAACCGCACCTCCCACCTGCACCTCTCTTGCCTTCTGACCTTTCATCGCAGTCACCTGACAAAGCCCTAGTTCCCACCAATCCACTGCCTGCACCGGGGTATCCGCATGCTGACCAACAGAACCAGAGAACTTCAATTTGCGCCACTATAATTTCATAACAGGCAATCTCAACAAGGGCCTCAAGGCTTAGAAGCCATTCCTGTGTCCCTAATCTGTTTCCCCTCATTCTCCCCAATCAGCCCTTCAAATCTCTACTCTCCCCAAACTCCTGCCCTGCTACACTTCTCCCCTCGTTCTCTGCCTTCTCTGCTGTGAGGACAGAGCCATGAGACGGCTGGTCCTCAACTTCCCACCACCCAACTACAACTTGGTTTTATCCGTGCCCAACCTTTCCTTCCTCCCTCCCACGAAACTGGATGAAATACATCCCCTCATTTCTAAAGATAATTCCTGCACTGGTGCTCGGGATCTGCAGTGTCCCCTCTCCTGCATCAACGAACCCTTCTTCCACACTGGCTCTGTGCTATCATCAACTAAGCACACAGGGGCCTGGCTGGTCCCTGCTCTCGAGTCCATGCACTGTGTTACAGCAAGTGGAGCAGCCCCTCTCTCACCGAGAGTACTACAGCCGTTCCTCCTCCATTCTTCAACAAACCGAGTATCAGAGTGGCATAAAAGGATGATTCCAACATTAAGAATTAATTTAGCAGAAGATAAGAAAAACTAGGACCCATCATCCAAGATTTAGTTCTTACCAAACACAATCAGTGTTTTGCGGGAAGCCTGAAAGAGAGACAGGCAGGCAACGAAACTCCAACACCTTGCCATTGGAGAATTCTAGAAAGCCAGTACTTACACTGCACGGGTTGTTGGCTGTCTGCGCTGGGCTGTAGAAGGACCCCCACTGGGTGGCTCGCCTCTCTTCCCGGGAAGGGGTGCTGTTCATGGGCAGGCCAGGTGGGACGCCAGGGCCTGCACCTGCAGCGCTGGCGGGCTGGCTGCTTGGGGCCACGAGGGCAAAGGCGTCGTCCAGGAGGGAGTGCATGGTCTGGCGCGCCTCCTCGATGGATGGCTGGGGCGGGATGTACTGGGAGGTGGGGAAGGGCAGGCCTGGATACCTCCCTAGCTCCACCGAGGATGGCGTCTGCACGTCGGCTGGGAGGTCAGGATCCGACTACAGTTGGGGAGATAAAGGAGAGAAGAATCACACACAGGCTTTCATGGTGACCCTAAAACGAAACTCTGGGGCCAAAATGGAATTTAACCATTTTCCTGACACTGAGGAAAAGGTTTATCCTAAGCATTAAAGAATGACAGCTGAAGAATGTGCATTACATTTCATGGAGGAAAAACGCTTGAATCAGAAAAAAAGAAAAAATAGTGGAAACATTCGAAGATCATTGTTTTCAGGAAAACTCAACTATTAGAAATATACTTCAGTACCTGGAGGTAGACATTTTTACTAAAAGCCCCTTAGCAGCCAAAAAACACATTTCAAAATATATATACTGGAAAAATCTAGTCAACTTTCCATAGAGAACCAAAAAGCAAGGCAGTCTATTAACTATTAACAGTAGGAGAAACAGCCCTGCATACCACTAAAAGAGGTCAAAGTCACCACCATATTAGGACTGTGTTGTATGTATAAACAATTATACTGTTATACCTAATTCTAATATTAATATCTATCATAACAGCTATTTACAATAGTAAATAGTGATGATTA